AGGTATATAAAAATGCCCCAAACGGGCTATCACAAACACATTGCAAAACGTTTTCGGATTAAACAATCCATCATCAGTGCAAACGGTTGTACATGCTAGTAGCCACCAAAATATATGGGTAAAAACCCTTTAAATGTTTTAAATTTGTAGTTGTTTTACATTATTAGTATTTATAATTTGCAATGTTTAAGTTACCGTTGGATAGGTAACATGACGGCGTATGACTCTACATGAGTAAAATGGTACTCCTACTCATGTAGAGCATACGCCACCATGTTACCTATCCAACGGTAACTTAAACATCGCAAATTATAAATACTAATAATGTAAAACAACTACAAATTTAAAACATTTAAAGGGTTTTTACCCATATATTTTGGTGGCTACTAGCATGTACAACCGTTTGCACTGATGATGGATTGTTTAATCCGAAAACGTTTTGCAATGTGTTTGTGATAGCCCGTTTAGGGCATTTTTATATACCTTTTATAAAGGATTTTAAACAAAATTTTTTTGTGATATATGGTATACAGCCAGCTACAGGAACTTAGTTTCCTCGTGGAATTTTAAAATATTATTATTATAAAAATTTCATTTATTTTCTTGTATGCTGATTGATAAGATAACGGCAGAATTTGATAATTGTTTTATTCGTTTATATAAAATAAAGAAACGTAAATTTTTGTAATATAATATTTTCTTTTATTATTATCCTTCTTCTCTATCCCGATAAAGGACATATATACTTTTTTTTGGTCTAGCTAGCTTGTTAAATGAATATGTATGGATATACCATTCAAGATCTAAAAAACTCTACAACTACTCACTAACTCTACAACTGCTTAAAAAAAAAACAACTAATGTAGAGGATTTCGGAATAAGAAATATATATATAATGTAGACATATTGTTTTATGAAATACGTTTATGTTAAAATGGCAAATAAAAACTGAATTTTCTAGTACTGCTGCGACCTAAACCATATTTGATTTACATGGCCTCAAATAAAAGATTCTGTGGTAAGAAAACAAAAAAAGTTTGGACGTGTTTTGTAGTTTGAACAAGCAGAAAGAGAAGAAAAAAGTTGACAGTGTACACAGTTTTATATTATAACTGGCTCCTTATTCATAACCGGCAATTTAAGTGGCGACATTTATCTCGATATGATAAAAAAACACCATCGAACCTTTAGTTGTGCATAAATAAGAGAATCAAAGAGACGATCAAGGCAACCTAGCTCTAGACGAAGATTTGCTGCACTTACAACAAGTTGAACCACCTCCTCACAATGCAGCTCTAGTTAGGCACTGGTTGGATACTAATTATTCGAACAAGTGGATTGGAAAGAGAGGTTCTAGGATTTACCGCCACCTGACTTTTTTCTATGAGGTTACCTCAAGTCAATTGTTTATAAAACTCAACCTGCGTTACTTGGTATTGCGAGAAAGAATTACATAAGCTTTTCGCGTTATTACTAAAACAACATTTGCCAAAGTTCGTGCAGAATTTGAAAATAGGCTGTATTATTGTTTACAAAACAACGGAACCCACTTTGAACATTTACTTAATTGACATTTTTAATAAATTTGTAGTTCATCAAAAACCTCATTAAATTTTCCATTTAAGCCAAAGTTTCACAATTATTGCTTCACCCTGTAGAATTATTATTTATACCATTGGATAGCATTTGTTATGGCATTTTTAATGATGTATCACAAGTAGAGGTTTGCAATTTAAACTTTTTTGGTTGTGGTGGGTGGGATCTAGGAGGTTGAGTTCTCTTTCATGTAATTTTAGTTCTCCCTTGCTATCCTAGAAACGGTTTCAAGCATGTTTCAATATCAGTTTTTTGTTCACGAGATATAGCATATAGCCCATTGTAAGTTTTAATATTGACACACTGTATAAAGAACCAATGAGTCAAAATAAAAAATCGATCAAGAATCAATTGTTACATTTTTAAAATACCACAAAATATCTAATAAAAAACACCTAATATAGAAAAATAAAAAAATCCTCTACCTGTCATTTCTTGGTATGCATTTGGATAAATCTTCCATTTGAGTAAGTCATATGTTAAAAAACAAAAAACATTTTTACTTAAAAATGGTCAATTTAGTTGCTGTTTACGGTACTTTTCCATATTTTTTCTCTTTTCCAAGTTTCTCTTCGTTATACGTACGCCACAAAAGTTATACCGTAAAAAGGGGTTACATTGAACATTTTCTTCTTATTTTGTTAAATAAGTTTTGTATCTGTTGCTCAATCGAATAAAAAAAAATACCACTTATGGGTCACTATAGAAGCATGACTTTACATACGTTAGATTATCTCTTGGGCGTAGCTATGTAAAAATAGCTATAAAAAAGTTGCTGTTCAATTTTACCCCGGGTTCGGGGTAACATTGAACAGTAGTATAAATCGGTGTCTACGAGCCCACAGGTTACTTATTCGTTCAATTTAAAAAAATTTATTTAAAAACTAGTGGGGAGAGTTTTGTTTGTTTTTGTTTCTCAATGGTTACATTTATTGACAAAATATTTTTTTACACTCTTTTTTATTAAACTTTAAATTCTTTTACACAGTCTTATAAAATCATATTTCAAACTAAAGAAATTGGTAATTTTCAACTCAAATGACATAAGGGAAACGTATAAACGACAGTCTTTAGAAGGATTTTAGCCCAGAGTATACCCATCAAATTGGATCGAAAAAACCACTTTTCCGCGGCGGTCTTCAGATGGAGCTGGCAGAAGTCTCTCAAAATCTGAAGAACTTACGACTGAAATGTCGTCTATCTGAAAATAAATCAACAATCGATTTTGGTATAATGCAAAATGCACTGAAAAATTAACCTCTGGCCAATAGAAGGCAGAATTCTTCGCAATTGTCAGGAACTTGACCACATAATCTCCATCAGGCAGTTTTTCTTTTATAAGACCAACGAAAAATTTCAAGATCTTTTTGGTTGCGAATCTCACGAGCACATAATCGTCGACGACTGCAGCCCCTGTTGGCCTTTCGATCTCCTCGTTCTTTTTTTGGTGCATTTCATCACAAAATGTCTCGAAATCACAATCAGATTCGTCCTGAAGCTCTAGTTCGTACTCGGAACTGTCACTATCCAATTCCTTAGCAGACTTTTTCTTATTCTTCGTGGGTGGTGCAGAACATCCAGAACTTTCTCCTATTTCAAAATCTTCCAATCCAATGCTTTTACCCGGTGCGATGTTAATTTTCTTTTTTCTTTGAGTTCTAGCTCTCTTTTTGTTCCTAATACCCTGTAGAAATTATTAAACTGTGTCGTTTAAACTGTTTCCAAAACTTTCATTTGATTCAGTATCATCAGTACCAGGCAATTTCTTTAATATTTGATTTCTGTCTAAACGGTATATACCCGTTCACCGAAAGCCACTTTGAAGGTTTTGTTCACCAGTTTCTGCGAATTTGAACATCAGCTTTTTTAAAAGTTTTGGAAACATCTCCTTTGGAAGACCAGTTGATCCCGTTGCTAACTTATAATCGCTGAGTATTGCACGCCATTGTTTCTTTAGTGGTGCGAACTCCGCGACATCCAGGGGTTGAGCGATATGCGTAGTATTCGGCGGTAAACATATGAATCGAATATTATTTTCAACCGACAGTCTGATAATTTGCTCAGAAAAATGGCTCGCCAAGTTATCCCCGATTAATACTTTGACTTCTTCTTCATGTCTCGTGGAATAAAGGAAAACAGAAGTAAACCAATTTAAAAATGTTGCAGAATCGAACCATCCATGAGCTGTTCGGTTGTATCTGGTTTTATCGGGTCCTCCTTCCGTCCAAGTTGTCCAAAGGTTTTCTGCTTTGTAGACTACATACAGAGGCAGCAGAACTCCTGAAGCGCTTTCACAAAACATCAAAGAAATGTTTGATTTTTATTGAGATAATAAACGTTCTGGGTATTTCACCCCTCTTTTAAAAAAGCATCTTGCAGACCCAGGATCATCCGATAAATTTGTCTCATCGAAATTGTATATACAATCGGGGGAAACTCCGTCTAGAAATTGCTCAAGGTTATCAAAATAAGCAATGAAAACTTCTCTAGTGGAAGATGCTCTATTTGGGTTTATATTTTGAGATTTTCTTACACTTATTTCTCTGTTTCTTTTTAGAAAACCTTTAATCCAGTCGATACCAGGCAAATTGTTTTTAAACTGCTTAACTCTCTTACCCATTGTATCCAAATGGCTTTTTATAACATGTCGTTAATCGTCGTGAGTCAAAGGAAAGCCCCATTCAGCAGTTTTCAAAAGCATCTTCACCAGTGCCTTTTCTTCGTCGTTGTTTAAAACTGTGGGCCTTCCGACGTCCTTCATTTTTTTGTTGTTCATTCAAATGATTCAAAACGAGGTAGCGTAACGCCAGACAATAATATTTAGATGGAACTCGATTGACGCCGCCCAAGCACGTTCAATCCTGCCGTTCAATGTTACCCCATGTTCCCAAAATAATTGACATATTTTTTGTATAAATTAATTAAAAATATTCAAAACCCTAATCATTTACGGTATTATGTAGAATAAGGTTCAAATAGGTACTAGTATCGTGTAAAATTAGTCATGAGAAGATATCTTTTGGATATCGCCGGCTGCAGACCAAAGTTTGAGAGATTTTTTTTACTACCTTTTATTTCAGAAACCATTTTTTATTTAATTTTTGTTAATTTTGAGAACCTGCCAGAAATTTTATCAGGAAGTCCAAGAAAAACATATTTGCAACCCTCAAAAAAATATATCGGCCCCAAAAAAAAGTTTAGGCCAACTTGTAGAAAAATATAATCTTCATTGCAAAACTGTTCAATGTAACCCTCGGGTTCAATGTAACCTCGTTTTACGGTATCACGTCTATTGGAGATCCTTTGTTGAAGATATCTGATATTTTACCAATATGCCAAATTCTTAAAAAACTTACAATTTTACTAGTGTAAAAATTAAAAATATACCTTTCAGTTATTTATTAATTTAAAATATTGCAATTTTTTAATATATTTACTAATAATTTTTTCTTATGCTATGATACAAGTATCACTAACTTTCCTAGTAACACCTTTGGATTTACCTTTTCCCAAACCCCGATACATATTTACTTGTGATTCGGAATTTGTAAAAGCGTTTAGTATGTTTTCTACAGCTTCATTTTCGCTTTTCTTCTCCTTATCTATTGTATCTTCTACCTGATTTAAAACATCTTCACTGGTTTCTGGGGTATCTTTGGAAGGTCCGATGATCTTTAACTTAAACTTTAAACCTCCCTTTTCTATTTCGATTTCGCGTATCTTCTTTTGCAACTGGACATATTCACCAGCTATTTCTTTCCTTGAACTTTCAAGCACTAGCTGCAGTTGGCTTAAAAGCGTTGAGCGTTCTTGTTCTAGGTCTAAAACTTTTATATATAGATCTTCGTATTCTTTTTTAGACTCGTCGTTTATATGTTCATACAGAGTATCAACAACCACTGATTTTTCAGCAGGGAGGTCTTTGCTGTTAGTTGGTGACGAAATATCATCAATGACGTTCAGCAGCTCTGTTTTCTTTTTTTCTAGTTTGTAAATTTTTTGCTGCAAACCATATCGTTGTTCCATTAAAGGTATATTAGCGTTTTCGAGTAGAGAATTGTCTAGTTGAAGAATAGTTTTTAGCCAATTCGCGTTAGACTCTGGTTGGGTTAATAAAAACTTAAACTCACTATGTTCCAGTTTGAGTTGTTGAATGTCCTTAAGAGCATTTTGGAACTCTTTAGAGAGCGATTTGATTACCTCTCTCATATCTGCATTTTCTTTTTCTAAAGCTTTTATATTACTCGTTATATCTTCCCTTTCATACTGTTTTAAGTCGACAAGATCATATTGTAATTTCGCCTTTTCAGCTTCTATCAGTCGAATAGTTTCGTTTAAAAATGTTGTTTCGTCTTTATGAATTTCAGCTCTAGGTACTGACTGCTTGGTTACTTCAATTGCAGAATCTAACAGGTTTTTAAATTGGACATTCTGGTTTTCGAGTAAACTAAAACGTTTTTTTAATCTTTCCATCTCCTGTGTAATTTTCATTCTGGTGGTGTTTTAATGAAAGCTACACAATACAAAAATATAAAAATATTACAGTGATGACAGTTGTCAAGTTGCCAAGGACGATGCAACACGATGTGTTCTTCTTCTTCTTCTTTCGTTTTATGGCCTCCATCTCTTAGGTACGTGGCCAGCTCATGTATATATTTTTATTTTAATTATAGAAGGGAATTCTCCTCACAGAGATTCTGGAAATAACCATATTCCCTTCAACTCTTTTTGGACAATTTATAGTGGATATTCTAAAATAATTCTATATGTCATTAATGATATAGATTTTTCTTGTTCCATCTATTAAGCTATGTAAGGTATATCTGGAATTTGGCATCTTGGACAGGACATCAGTGGTTAAAGGATAGGTTAGGTTGGGTATTTATTTATATTTTACTTACATTTTAATTTGGAAAATATTGATAAACTTACCAATCGTTTTCAAGGTTTTAGCATTGATATTGTGGAAAATATTTTGTACTGAAATGGGCGTTGGGCATCCATCTTTAATAAGTTTTTGATATAAATCAAATAGTGGTGTCTTATTGATAGGACACTCTAGCAAGATGTGTATTATACTTCCTATTTGACCACACTCACAAAAAGGGGAATCAATACAGTTAATTTTAAATAGATGATCTGGCGCCAAACAATGTCCTGTTCGTAACCTAATAATTGTTGTCAGGTGTCTACGGTCTACAAAGTCAAACTTATGAAACCATGGTTTTATAGAGAATTCGCTTTGACATTGTTGATACCACTTTCATAAGTATTAATCTTTTAGTTAAATTTACAATGTGATTATTTGTTCCCCAACAGGTACTTTGTAATTTTTGGATTGCACTTTTTGCATCAGAGAATATTATTGCTTTTTTAATATTTTTTTCTAAGCAAACTTCTACTGCCTTATTTATGGCAATAATTTTAGTAGTGCATATTTGTATGTGATCATGTAGTCTAGATGCATAGTTATAATTTATTGATGGAATGTGAACTCCAAACCCTACTGCCCTTGAACTGGGTTTTAATGACCCATCTGTAAATATCCAAGTGAATTCTTCATAGATGGTTGAGAATTTATTAAGAAATTGTTGATTACTATATGTTTCTCCTTTTTTGTGTTTTTGGAGAATATTGTTTTTATTCTTTCTATTGGATATTTTAGCTCAATCTGGTAACAGGACTTAATACTATCTTTAAATAATTGTTTAATCACAACACGATGTGTTATGGAGTTACTGTATTTTGGGGTTATTTTCAGATATCATTTAAAAATAAATTTTTCCAATAATAGTTTATTTTAAATTATTCAGGAACACTTTAGTATAAAAAATTGATCGTATCAGAAAGCTATTACTACGGAAGAAGAGTTAGTACTCATCAACACATTTTTCAAATTACCACCTGTAAGTTGTACATATGACGATCATCCGGTAACACGCTAGAAAATCCCATAATAAATCAGATTGACGACATTTTCATAAACAAAAGATTTAAAATTTCAACATCAATAAAATCTTATAGTAGGTGCATATTTTAAGTCGGACAATAACCCACTGTTGGTAAATTTGGTATAAAATTTAAAAAATCCACAAACCTCACCCTCACCCCTCAAACCACAAACAAAGGAGATCTTAAGATCTTATATTATCTCAAATATAATAGACAATGACACAAAAAAGGAATACGGGAATATCTGAAGAATGGTATATCTAAGTCAGAAGTAGTTAATGATGTTAAAATATAAGTAATCCACTTGGAAAACATTAGGAGAGAAATATTATATCAATACTTGCGACCAAAACTGACAGAAAACAACATCGATGACCGACAGTATTTCAGATGATGGACAAAAGAAGAGAAGTAAAGAAAAAAGACTGCGCCGCTTATCAGTGTCTAGATAGAGATGTAAGAAAAGCTGCCAGATAAGATAAAAACAGAATTCTACAAAAACAGTGTGAAGAAATCGGGATATTGGAACGCAATACGATTCGTTTAACATCCACAAAAAGGTAAACGAAGCAAACAGGCTTCTATAAATCAAAAAGGCAGTACACTTAACAGATGCTCAGGGAAGTCTAATAGTTGGTACCTATGCCATCTCGAAGTGGAAGTAGAAGCAGCTACAAACAGATAAAATAAAATAAAAATTCACAAGGAATCTACGTTCCTGTAGTTGGCTGTATACCATGTATTAAAAATTTAATTAAAAATCCTTTGTAATAGGTATATATTTAAGGCCCAAAGGGGCTAAGTTAAAAAGACAAAACGTTTTCGGAAACCATGTTCCATCATCAGTGTCTAGGAGTACATGAATGAAGCCACCAAGATTAAATATATGGGTAAAAACCCGTTAACAGATGTTTAATTACATTTAGTTTTAAAAATACGTTATAATGATTTAAGATTATAGAGTTACCGATGGATTAGGTAACATGGCGACATATGACTCCACGTAGAAGTTGCTAGTCCTGAGACGGTATGTCTTCGAGGTCTGTATGAGTGCAACAGAGTTACAACAGAGCAACAGACTATTTTAAACCATATATGGCTTTCTTAACACTATATTATGGCCTTAACACTTTGTTATTTTGGATTTCTAAACCTTCAGATACTCTCATAAAAATATTTTCTTTTAGATCGTCGTTTAGAAAAGCCGTCGCTACATCAAAATGAAAAACATCCAAATTCAAATTTGATGACAAAGCAAATAAAAGTCTTGAAGAAAAAGTTTCATTATAATCAACTCCAAAATTTTGAGTGTAACTCTTTGCTGCCAGTCTTACACGATATTTTACTTTACATGAGTTGGCATCCTTTCGTTTGTATACCCACTTGCACTTTACTACACAACCATCTTCAGGAACATCAACCAGTTCCCATGCAGCGCTATTCTCGAAAGATTGCAGTTCTTCTGTCATAGCCGCTAACTGCGCTAACCATGGGTTACTATCTGGTCTCTATCGACACTAACTGGATCACTGTCACTATCCGAACATAAAGAACTCACAAAGTCATCAAATATTTTTGGTTTAGTTGTTCTGGTTGATCTCCTGATTTCAACTGACAAATTTGGCAAGTCACATAGGTAATCGGGATCATTGCCTTCAACAATCTCATCAATCAATGTCTTCTCTTCATCGTGATGATTTTGATCCTGACATGATTCATGATCATCTCTTACTGAATCTAATAATCCTGACTACTCTTCACCACATGTGATCGAAACATCAACTGATTTTTCATTTATTACTACATCCCTACTTACAACAATATCTTTTATTTCGAGATCATATAATATGTAACCTTTAATTGTGTCACTATAACCAACAAGGACAGTTTTCTTTGATTTGTTGTCCTATTTATACTTTTTTTCTTTAGGTATCAGCATCATTACCTCAGATCCAAAGATTCTTAAACGACTAATTTCAGGTTTTTTGTTGGTCCAAATTTGTATGGGAGTTTTAATCACACCAGATACAATTAAAAGGTTTCTTAAGTAGACAGCAGTGTTCACTGCTTTGGTCCGAAAAATCTTTTCTAGACGAGAGTCAAACAAAAGACACCTAGCTGTCTCCACTATTGATCTGTTTAATTTTTGTACAGCGCCATTGTGTTGTAGGGGTCATCGACCTAGGATCGCATTGTAATTTTAATTTAATTATGTGAACCATATTGTGATATCTCCACTGCAATTTTAGTGTTAGCTACAAGTACCTAAAAAAAAAGACACTGAGGATGATCTGAGCTAGATCTAAAACGTTATGTATCTATAAATTTTGGACACTTAACAAGTTTTGATTAAATTTTTTTTTATACCAATATACAAATTTTGAATTTTCTTACTTCTGTATAAGTTTTTTAATTTATTTATTCATATCCAACAAAAACTATCTTATTACTATTTCGAATTTTCTTTCCCTTCGTAGATAAAATTTTCCCAACCTAACTATAGTTTATTTTTATGAACGAGAGAGTAATTAGCATAATTTTAACTGGTATCTCCGACCGCTCCATGGGCGTGCTCAAGATTAATTGAAAAATTACTTTGAATAATTGTAAAAAATAAATGAATTATTTCAGTGTTATAAAGTGTTATGTGTATGTAAACAAAAGTGACCTCTTTTATCACACACTATATTAGAACTGACTGGCCTACATTAAAAAGAGTTTTAAAAAATTCACATTTATTTTAATTTTTAAAAATTACAAACAGAAAAAGAGTTTTTAAAACCGTCTAAGGTATGTTAAATAGATGAATAAAAATATTAATATAAAACTTACAGCTACTTGTTACAAATCCAAATCAGATTTAGAAGATGAACTTTCAGAACCAAGATTTATAATAACTGGCTCGATCATTTTATCAGTAATATTGTCCAGCTTCCACATTTTTTCCTCTTCTTTAATAGTGTGATTTACTGCCTTTTCCTTAGTTTTCAGGTTTTACATTATTTACGGCCTCCAAAAACAACTGTTTAACATCATGAATTTTAAAAGTGGTATATTTTCTTGAAACTTCACTCTTTATCTGTGCCCATACCAGTTCAATCGGGTTTAATTCACAATGATATGGTGGGGATCTAAGTACTGTCATTCCACGATTTTTGGCAATTTCATCAATTTCGTATTTTTAAAATTTTTCTTTATAAAGGGCACACAACGAATAAAGTTCCTTTCTTATAGATCCGGGATGGTACGTAATATTTTTTGAACTCAGCCAATTCTGCAAGTCTTTTTTTAACCACTTGGTTGTGGTCAGTCCTTCTATAAGTCTGGAGTGATAACTTGCATTATCCATTACTATTACACAGTTCTTAGGAAGAAGATCTATCATTTGTTCGAACCATTCTTGAAAGACATCAGCGTTCATGTCTTCATGGTAGTCACCGGTACGAGTTGATTTAAAAGTTAATAAACCACCTTCAACAAAACCGTCTGAACTGCCAATGTGTACTATTATCAGCCTGCGTCCCTTTCCTGATGGTGGGTTTAAACCAGTAGAAAAGTTATTTACAAAAGCGTGCCTTTGACTTGTAACAGATTCATCCTGCCAAAATTTATTTGGTGTATGACCCTCGTTGATCCATGTTTCATCATGATAAAATATTTTTCTTTTTTGGTTTCTCATTTCCTTTATGGTTCTTAGAAAATGTCTTCTCGATATGACAATATCGCTTCTTTCTAATAAAATAGACTTTCTGGGATTCTTTTTCCAGCGGAAGCCTATTTCTTTTAAAAGTTTTCATAACGTACTTCGACTCATTTCTGGGTAATCCTTATTATCTCGAACTGAGACAAGAACTATATCCAATGTTGGAAATTCTTGTCTAAAGAAGAATTCATGCACTTTCCGTCGAAGTCCTTCTTTAAAATGATATTCTATTTGAAATTTTGGTTTCTCTGGAGCATTACGTGGCATTTGAAAACTACCACATTTTTCTTCTTTAATAACTCTGTAAATCGTAGATTTCCCAACACCAAGTGTACTGCTAACTAACTCAACGGTCTCATCAACACTTTCACATAAACGTTTGTCTGTAAATGATTTAAAACAATTAAATATTAATGTTTTTTCATTACCTGTTAAAGGACCAATTTTTCGGCATTTACACGGCACTTCCAAATTTTCTATAACACTAGTATACACAATAAACTGCACCTTGCAACTGAAGTACCTACCTACTTTTAGTGAACTGTTAAGAATTTTGAATACGCCACTTGGACCTTCCTACAAAATAGAAAAACCCACTATCACATTTTCTGTGGAATAAGTTTAGAAGGTAATTATCTAGTCAATTACTGTCGTAGATTCCTGGAGTTAAAGAATTAAATGTTTGATTGTTGAAACCCTTACTTCGTGGAATGTACTCATTTCAGATAAAATAAAACGTTTTATTTTATCTAAAGAATTAAACTTTATTTTGCAAATAGGTAGGTACTTATTAAACTTTTATTGGTTATATATAACCAATAAAATAAACATCTTACATTTCTTGCAAATTTATTAGTACCTGTTAACCTCCATCACTCCGACACTGGCAACCTTATTTAGGGATTAGTAACCCTCACAAGTATTGTATTCTATTCTGCTCCAACCTTTATACCTGGTGGTCATACTCAATTTAAAATTGTTTTCCTATATACTTCTGTAAACTTGTTGACAAATATCTGTTTTTCATTGAGTCACCCGTATCAACAGTTTAGGGATTTGCATACATAATTTATTGTTTTATTACTCTCTCATACATAAAAATACACTATAATTATATTAAAAACAGCTTTTCCGGATTTAAAGCGAAAACCGGAATATTAGTCACTTCCTAATGCTTCCATCGACGACATATGTTTGACTTAAACTAAATAATAACCGTGCAAAAAACCAATGGGCAGAGTATGTAATTATTTTATAAAAAATGACATTGTGAATTAACTTTCACCCAAAGTGTCAACATTTTATTATGACAAGATTTGACGGAACTAAATCACCATCAATCATTTCGGTTTTTCATAATACGATCATACAAATTTCATTCTGTATATTTTTATCATGGTTGACCAACTCGAAAATTCAGAAATACTAAAACACATTAAGCATTTAGAAAATCAGAATAAGAAACTCAGAAATCTTTTAGACAGCACAAAGAATGTAGCGAACCAAGAAGTAGAAAGATTCTCGATGTTACAAGACGAAACTAAATATTTAGAGCAAACAGTTGATAATTTAGAAAAAGAAAAACAAGAACTAGATGACCTGCTGACGTCGGTACTATCAAAAGATGAAGGTAACATGAATTTGATTTTAATGAAACTAGAAAGAGAGCACTCAAAATTGCGTGATAAACTCGATGAGGCTCATACAAAGATACAATTAAAAACCGAAGAAGTTGTGAGCCTGCGAACGGAAGACGCTGTTCTTAAAGAAGTTATTTCTAATCTAGAAGCCACAAAGAAATCTCTTTTGGGTCGTATTAAGTTAATCGAAGATAAAGAATCAGTATTATCAGGTATTAGTAACAAACTGAAAGAACAACTGTCAGAAGTTGAACAAAGAGAAGAAATTATTGTTAATGCTAAATATAAAACTGCAGACTTTAATAAAATGGAACAAAATAATAAATCAAGCGAGCATATAGGATCAAACAAAACAGCTACCGGTTCAAATCTAGGAAAAAAACAACCTCTAATACCTGTAGTTTCTAGTAACTCCAATATGTCTCCAAATGTGCAACAGTCTACAGGAAATTCCCAATCTCTAGAGCAGATCATCAGCGAATTAGAAAAATCTAAAAGTAAATTATATAAAGACCTAGAGGAAATTATCAACAACTCAACCAAAGAAATCGAAATAATTAAAGCCAACGTCTCAGATCCCGATATCAAACAACTTCTTTACGAAATCGATATTCAAAAAGCTGTTCTAGATTATAATTTGAAAATGGCAAGGCTTCAAGATGAAAAAAATGTCGATCTTGTTCATTGTTCCCCAATTAAAATATCGTCTAATCCAAATAACACAGTTTCTGAAAGTTCTCAACATAATATTAATACGTCTTCTTCTGAAAAATCTATGAAATACGCAAAAGAAAAAGAGCTCAAAGTTGATCAACTTAATAAAGTCTTAGAAAAGAAAATGATTTAATACCCAATTTGTAATCTCAATAATAAGAAGTGAATCATTATAATGAAAAAATACTACAAATAAAATAAACAACTTTGTTACAAGAATCAATTTAAGTCTGAAAACACAAAAAACCGAACTTTTCATAACAAAAATGTTCGCACATGTTATTATGATACCTATATAAAATAATCTCTACAACAAAATTCATAGCATATTTAACTAGAAAATAAAGGAATGAAGTAATTAAAATCGAAACAAACAGCAATAAAACTTTTATTTAAATTTTTAATAATAAATTGATGTAAAAAACCTATAGACATAATAAAAGTCATTATTTATAGTCTAATATATAATTTCTATGCAAAAATGAATAAATCTGCCGTATTACTAGGTTATGCGGATTAGTTTTATGCGATTTTAAAGTTGTGCGGTTTGTATTTGATTCAAAAGTTTCCATTACTACCTATTATAATTAAATATTAACTAAAGTGAGTCTTTGCAAATCAGAGTCTTTGTTTTATAATAAGTTGTTTAAAATTTTGCTGATTCTAAGTTGCAGTATAATAAGCAGTTTTCGGATTGAAAGATATCAAGTGAGTGTCCTAAAGTTTTATTTTTCACTAGAAGAGGTTTTTGCCGTCTCAATATCGCAAGTCTTATTATTTTTTATTTCATTTTTTAAGATTTTATTTGGCCCAATAGAGAAAAACAAACATCAAACGCAATAAATTTCGTTGGAAACGAAAATTGCACTTTGAGATCGCTTAGGAAAAGGAGAAGGGTCTACGGAAATTATAAAACATTTTAATTTAGACGAATCAACTGAAAGGCCAATTAAGAAGAGTGAAGTTGCTGTAAGAAAATCTATCTATCTAAATTTCTGGTACAAAATTAAGCTCCAAATTTTCATCTCAGCTCAAGAAATGTATTATTAGAAAGAACAGAACGAGCCATTGCAATTTGGATTAAAGAACTAATTCAAAGAAGAATTCCTGTAAGTAGTTCTTTAATCCAGGAAAAAGCCCTTTAGTTTTATGAGTAAATGGAACTGTCACAGCCACCAACTTCTACTTTCCAAGCTGGTAAAAAATTAACAGCTAGCAAAGGATTGCAAATCGAGTTTATAAAAAGAAATACATTTCATGGTAATTACATTTCCTACCCGTTTCTAGGTAACGGGTAGGAACTCCATTGGATAGTCCTATCAGGGAAAATGAATCAGTCCCTGCCTTCCGCAGATTCCAGGTGTTTCGTGGCTCGGGAAACTAGTACCTGTTTAGGGTCCCTTGTCCAGGGTTACGGATGAAGTCCACAACGGCATTCGTGGCGGGGAAGAATATCTTCACTACGGCATGGAGGGCGGAAGTGGCAACCTTTGATTTTAGGGTTTGTATAGAATCAAGCTGCTGCCTTGTAGTTATAGTCGTTTAATCGTCAAAGGCTAGAGGAAGAAAACTTTGATCACAAATTACCCGCTCCTCCAGGTTGGGGGTTGTGGCATTGGACTGGCTCTCCAATACTCGTCAAAATTTTAACATACCAAAAAGCCTAAACAAAGCCTCGGAACTTTAGATGGGTTTTCAAGGAAACGACCAAAGCTAAGAAAACGGTGGTACATGGAATATACAGGGGATAAAACAAAAGATTTATATCATTGTGCCTAATCTAGAACAAATGAAAATGAATATTATAGCACTAACTGAAACAAAGAAAAAATGAACTGGCACTGATATGGTAGGAAATTATATACATATATTCACTGGAGTCCCAAAAGATAAAAGAGCCGCTAGGGGAGTATCAATACTAATAAAGAAAAAACCTAAGAATAATATCACAGACAGAGAAACAATTGATGACTATATCCTAATAGTAAATACAGACATATATGGGCACAAGATTACCATGATAGCCGCTTATGCCCCCTCTGATGATGCAACAATCAACGTGAAAGAAGATTTCTTTCAAAAAATCGAGGACATACTTAACAACATAGAAAAAAACAAAGAAATAATTATGCTTGGAGACTTCAATAGTAGAACGGGATATCAGAAAAACAGTAGAGTAGTAGGACCTTTTAAAGAAATGGCAACTAATGATAATGGCGGTAGACTTATACACTTATGTGAGAGCTATGAGTTAAAAATTAGCAATGGATTCTACAAACATAAGGACATACATAGATATACCTGGATTCAACAAACACGCAATCTAAAATCAGTCATCGATTATATTATTAGTAAAAATCTGTATTGCAGTGGAATGATGTAAGAGTTCTCCGAGGGATCCGATCATTGCGTAGTAAAAGCGAAAATTTTGTTCCCACTTAAGATAATACACGGAGACCAAAACCTAGAAGAAAAGCAAGACTTGCAGACAGTGGACACTCCGAAGTACAACTTCAATAGTTTTATAAATGATAGTACTAAACAGCTATACCAACGACGACTGGATGAAAAACTACGAGAAATAGAGAGACAAACATTTTCAAATATTTACGAGAAGATCTAACATCAACCACACATTGATAAATGCTGTACAACAACTATATAGAGACTCAAAGGCACAGATAAAAACAGGAAAATATTTAACGGAAGAATTCCTGGTTACAAAAGGCTTGCGACAGGGATGCTGTATCTCACCAACCTTATTCAAGATATATGTTGCAGCAGCATTGGAAAAATGGAAAAGAAAGGTGCATAGGATGGGTATAGAGCTAAGCAATGAATGTATATAGACACTCCAGTTTGCTGATGACCAGGTAGTACTAGCGACCGACAGGGAAGACATGCAGTACATGCTTAGAAAACTGATAAAAGAATATAACGACTGGGGAATGAATGTCAATACAACAAAAACCAAATATCTTTGTGTTGGAAACGAGTCAGATAACATAGACCTCGAAAACGGATAACATATCTCCTGCTGTCAGAGCTATGACTACTTGGGTGTTGCCTTTGACAATACAGGAACTGATACACGGGAAATAGAAAAACGAATCACTCAAGCAAAGAAAGCCTTAGGATGTCTTAATGGTATACTGGGGAGTAAAGAGATAACGAAAGGAAGAAAATTGAATATATATATATATATATATATATATATATATATATATATATAGATATATATATATATATATATATATATATATATATATATATATATATATATATATATGAGACCATGATTAAAACTACTCTTCTTTATGGCGCTGAAACATGGAAAATAAGTGAAAAGAACAAAAAGCGAATAGAAGCAGTAGAGATGGGAATAGAAGGAAATTCCCAACGTATGGGAATAGAAGGAAATATAACTCAAGATATAGAGAAGAAACAAGTAAGGTGGTATGGGCATGTTCAACGGATGCCAGCAACAAGACTCCCCAAAAAAAGTAGTAGAATGGTAACCAATAGGTCGACGGAAAAGAGGAAGGCCCAGATTAGAGTGGCAACACGGCGTAAGCAAGTTCATGAGCGAAAGAAATTTAACAACAAACGATTGCGAAGATAGGAAGAGATGGTGTTTAGGTATCGGACAACGTCGAAAGGCGTTCTAAACCGATGTATATATATATATATACATATATACATATATATATATATATATATATATATATATATATATATATATATATATATATATATATATATATACGTGTCCATATAGCAGGGTGGGCATCTCTTGCTTCAGTAGGCCGGAGCTAGTACATTGGTAAGTTCAGATAAGGACCCAGTTCCGGGGATATAACACAGCCCCCTTGCCCAGGGATATGGGTGAAGACCACAACGATGATGAAGGTGGAGAATATAGTATTCGGTACAGTGAATTCAACGGAAGTGGCAACCCTGTTTCTATGGATACTATAGAATCAACCTGGTGAAGGGCAGCAGCGATCACCAGTACTAGAATTAGGCGTAAAGGAAATGATCTTAAACCGGCTTCTTACTAGAATACCGTAGGTGAGACTGAAACAGTTAGAGGGCTACGGTACTGCGATGCGGAAAGCAAGTAAGAAACTACCTTCTCAGGACATCCGTCTGTAGATTTTTTCTTGTCATGTTGAAAGAAACAAAACAAACGGCCCCTAGTTCAGGGCAGGCCTTAAATGGCCAAGGGATGCAAAGAATCTCCCGGTTTCAACTTGATAAGATAACTAAAATTGCTACGTGGAATGTCAGAAGCTTATTTGCAGCAGGCAAACTATAAAATCTAATTCAGAAAATGAACAGAATTAACATCGATATTCTCGGCATAAGCGAATTGCGATGGGAAGGCACAGGCATGATCAATACTACTGGTAAAACCCTTTACTACTCATGCAGTGATAGCACAGACCCTCACCACAGACATGGAGTGGGAGTTCTGATAAGCGAAAATTTGCGCGTCTCCGTGAAGAACTTTGTCCCGATCTCGCAAAGAGTCATACTTATTCAACTTATTCAGTTGCATGGAAAAGTTAACATAAATATTATACAAGACTACGCCCCTACAGCAGGCAAGCCAGAAGAACAACTACAGCGATTTTATCAACAGCTAGACGAAGCCTTAAAGGTGACTAAGAATCACGAAATTAACATCGTATTAGAAGATTTTAACGCAAAAATTGGGGAAGGAGCTATAGATCATGTAGTTGGAAAATATGGTCTTGGTCAGAGAAACGACAGAGGGGACAGATTGATACAGTACTGCCAACACAAAGATCTAGTCATAACGAATACTTGGTATAAGTTACCACACAGGGCTTTACACATGGAAGTCGCCTTTAGACGGACATCAGGGCATTGTAAGAAACCAAATAGATTATGTGACAATTAATAGAAAGTACAGGAATTCTATTACTAAGGTATCTGCATTACCTGGAGCAAACATAGGATCCGACCACAATCCCTTAGTAGCAAATATCAAACTGATGCTCGCTACAGCTAAAAGAAAACTCCAGAAGGCATCAGTAAACATTAGGAAACTCAAAAATAGTGAAACAAGTGAAACGTACACACAGGAAATAAACAATAGGTTTACTATTAAGGCAACTGAGGATGATGTTGAAAAGTCATGGACCACCATTAAAGAATCATTTGATGAGGTGAACAACACTTTTCTACTCAAGAGTAAAACAACTACCAATAATGAGTGGATGACAGAAAAAATATTAGAGATGATGGAACAACGCAGGCAGTGTAAGATTAGGCAGGACCAAGTAGGGTACCGAAATATACACAGTCAAATTCGTAAAGAAATTATAGCGGCGAAGGAGATCTGGATAATTACACTTTGCTACTGGTGTCAAGTCACAAAGTCACTGGTATACATAATGACCAAAATGAATTAATAACG